CCCCCCTCCCCCCAGCAAAGTTCAGTCCGAACCCTGCAGCCCATAATTCAGGGCCGTCCATGATCCGACTCTGGCCAGCTTTCCAGCCTAACGTCCCCTACACCCTCCAGGCTTCACCTCTCTTGTGAGACTCGTTCTCTTTCCTCACAATAATTGGTGCCTGGACTGTCATTCATCGAGTAGGAAGTAAACAGACTAAGACTTAACAATTAAAAGAAAAAAAAAGAACAGACCCAAAGCAAGCTGTCCATGGAACTCTGAATGGAGCCCGGACCCAGGGGAGTAAATCAGAGCTAGGGATGGGAGGGGAAAGGGGTGCGCCAAGGGCAGGGCTGGTTCTCCCACACCCCCAAGTTCCCAGGCAGAACTCTGAGGGGTCAGAGAATTCTAAATCGAAACCTGGCTTTCCAGGTCGTTGTAAAGACGCTTTTGTCAAAGCGGTGAGATGAGCCACGTTTTTAGGAACACTTTGTGGGCTGATTTACAGCTTCAGACCATGGAATGCGGGCTCCGTGTGCCCTCTCGCCCTGGGCCCTGCGAGGCCGAGGGGCTGGCCTGGGAGCAACGCAGACTGCAGGCTGGCGTGGAAGAAACCAGGGGAGGCACACGGGGACAAGAGCAGGAGGGAATGTGCACCCCTCCGCCCCCAGCAAGTGTTCAGATTGATCTAAGGGCCAAGGCAAGCCGGGTCCCACCAAGTCCAGAGCTGATGCAGGACCCCAGGGAAGCTGTGGCCCCCCACTCGGCCCGGGCCCTCTGGCCCCATCGGCAGAACACACTCCTCGCAGGAGGCAGGTGGGATCATCTCGGGAGAAAGATGCACCCCAACTCCGATGTCATCTTGCATATGCCAACAACCATATTTTCCAGCCACCCCAGCCTGCTTTCCAGAAGCCGAGCTGGGTCCCCTGCCTGCGTGGAAACTGGCCCACGAAACACACCGAAGAGGAGGGTCAGGGTCTGAAACCCCGCTGCCTGTGTCCTTATAGCTGGACTGTCGCAAAGGACACTTCCTCGCTTGCTTGGGGGTGGCCAAGGGGCGTTTCTTCTGACACCCGCGGGGTGGGGGTGGGGGGTGGGAGGGCTTAGGGCCCCTCCCCCACTCTCCGGGCTGAAGGAGCTGCCCGCAGTGTGGCTGAGGGTGGACCCCCTGTAACTGCCCTTCCTGCGCATGCCCTGGGCCACAGATATCCAGCTATCAGCTCTCCACGCCCACGTGCCCACCGCAACGGCTTTCAGAGGCTCCCCTGTGGCTCCTGGCTTTAGTCAGCGCTTTGCTTATTCAAAAGCAAAATTCTTCACCTAAACCCCTGCTTAAAAATCCCAGGACTGGGTGTTTTAGACTTTCCACCCCAAGTCTCTACACGGTGGTGTGCAGACCAGGAAAGGGAGCCCCCGGCGGAGAGCAGACAGGTTAGCGCTCCCCACCAAGGGGCTGAAGGTTTTCTCATCCACTTGACCACTCCCTGAAATAGGTCGAATGAGGTTACGGGGGCCCCGGTGTGTCCACCACGTGATCTGTGCCGACAGCACCACAGGCTACTCAGAGCCCACGTCGGCCACCGTCGTCCCCTTAAGTCCTGAGTCACCTGCCCTCTAAGGAGTCGGGTGGCACTGATCCAGTTTGCTTTGATTAGTGCCGACACTGCAGGACAGGGCTCCTCCTGGGCTCCGACTGCAGCTGGGACTCACCCGAGTAGGATGAACAAGGCAGAACGTGGCTGGGTGGGCGGCCCCCCACCAAATCCAGGGAACCAGGGGCCCCACCTGCCAGGAAGGAAAGCAGCTTGCAATCCCGGACGGGCGATGAGAGCATGGACGCTGGAGCGGTGTAGCTGGGCTCAAGCCCACGCTCAGCCCTGGATGCGTTTAGTGACCTGGGGACAAGATGCTGGAACTCTGCGTCTCCGCCCCCGGCCCCCCGGCTCAAAAAAGGGGTGGGGGGGGGGGGAGTCACATCTCTCCCTACGCTTATCATGGGTGACACAGTGCAGGACGCTGCCAGCTATGGGCCCCGTGCAGCGTCACCGGCCATGTGCGCGCAAGAGTCTTGTCTGGTTCCTGCAGGCATCCCCTGGGGCAGGGATCACTACTTCCGCTTGTCAAATGAGGAAATGGAGACTAGGGCTACACGGCAAAAAAAAAGAAAAAAAGAAAAGGCACCCAAAGGATTCAATCCCAGGGTGCCTGACTCAACGTCCAGCGCCCTTTGGACAGTTCGAGACCAGGACTGATTCATGCACTCGTTAAACTTTTGTTAAACTTCCACCCTGACCCCCAGCTGCACTAAGCGCAGGGGTTACTCAGATGACCTAGACGAGATCTCTCCCCTCGAGGGTTGCCCAATCCAGTGGAGAATTCAACCAGAATTCATGACAACCAGGAGCCGGGAGGGCGTGGGGTCAGGGGTCAGAGGCAGCCTGCAACGTCCTGGGGCGCCCAGGCTTCTCTGGGACCTAGCCTTTCCCAAGTCTAGACCATTGGAGTTTTCTTTTCTCCTGTGAGCTAGCCTGTCGCATGCCAATCATTCCTCTGCTGCTCCCACCAGCCAGAGCTGGCCTTCTGTCGCTCACACCCAGGGAGCCCGAGAGACGCTGTGCTGGCTGGGACGCGCCTCCTTCCGGCCGGCTTGCCTCTGCAGAGACCCCAGTGCCTTGAGTGACAAATACTCAGGTCATGGATGGGGTCAAGAGCGAGGGCTCACAGGGGACTCAGCACAGCGGCGAGTCCCAGGCTCGCGCTCTGAGAGGCTGCCCCCCTCTGCCAACAACACGACTCTCGGTGGGAAAGGGACTCCTTACTGCAAAAATCACAAAACGAACGCAACGCACGGATTTTACCAAAATCACAAAACCATCGCAACGCACCGATCAAAATGCATTCTTATTTGGGGGTCCAGCCCCTTCTGCTGATATCCTGAAATGACGCCCTTTATCCCACCCCCAGAGAAAAGAGACTAAGGTGCCCTGCCCTTGGGGAATCAAGAAGGGTCTGAATGTTAATTAGAAGACAGGGAAAGATGGAGAAAACAAAGGCCAATTTTTTTTTTTTTTTTTTTTTTTTTTGCCATAGTATTTTTTCTGCTACTTGATTTTATTAAAACAAATCAAACAAGACAATCAAATAAAAAACAACAGTAAAGGTTTTTAAAATGACCTCCTGGGGAGGAGGAATGGCTTCACAAGGGGACCTACTGGATTCTTTTCTCTTTCCTTTCTGACTCCTTGCCCAGAAGGAAGGAGCCTGTGGTGCATGAATCCGCAAGTAAGCAGTAAGTATATGCGGCTTTGTGGGCCACGTTACGGTCTCTGCACAGCTATTTAACTCTGCCATTGCAGAGTAAAAGCAGCCACAGACAATACATAAATGAGGACGTGTATCTGTTCCAATAAAACTTTATTCACAGATACAGAACACGGGGCGCATTTGGCCCACGAGCTATAGTTTGCCGACCTCTGTGTACGGTCTGTTCCAGGCCAAGACCAAATCACAAGATACATTACCCGTCATGGCGTGAGGGACGCTGATGACCATGACTTTCTGGTTCTGCACTCTGACCCCCATCTCTGGGTCCTGCATGTCCTTGACGAGGGCTTCAATCTGCAAAACAGAACCGCCAAAGCTGGCTAAGCAGAACCATCTCGAAGGCTGAGTGAGGCCCTTCTGGCAGCACTGAGGGAGCAAAAGATGCAAAGAGGAACACGGGGCACTTATAACCAGGAGCCCACCGCCTAGACCGGCAGCGCGCAGCTGTCAGGCAGCCAGAACTAAACGCGCGCATCAGAGGCACAAACACCTCCCCAGGTGTGAGAGCTCGGACGGATTCATTCTGCCAAGGAGATGCTGCAGAGGCTTTTAGGAGAAGATGGGACTTAGCAAAAAAAGGGTTTTGTTGGGTAGAAAGTGAGAGAGCTACAAGGCACGGGAGAACGACAGCGCCCAGGGTGGGAGCGGGACGGGGGTAGGGGAGGGGCCGGGTCTCAGCGGGGCCACGGAGGGTGGGCCCTGTCCCAGCAGCTCTGGCTGGGGAGCAGTGTCATCGGGCCCGCACCTGAGAGAGGAGCATCGAAGCATGAAGAAACCCGCCCCAACAGAGAAAAGCAGGGGCCTGTTCAACACTATTGCGACCGTCCGGGCACAAGATGATGGGGCTTCCACCCCTCCCGCTTCCGCCCCTCGGTCTGTCCTCAGCAGGGCAGCCCGTGCGAGACTTCCAATTATTTTAGGCTGTATCTCTCCTCCGCTTGAAACTCCGCAAGGGCCATTCCACTCAGTCAGTGGCCAGGTTCTCCTACTGGTCTACATGGCTGGGATCACTTCCCCCCACTGTCCCCCTAAGAGGCTCAGGAGCCACGCCCAGCTGCATCTTACTTCCTGCTGCAACCTCCAACTACCCCTCCCCCCGCATTCCTATAGTACTCACCTTCCAACGTCCGAAATAATCTACCTGCTGATCATAACGTTTGCCATGTGTCTCCCTCACTCCTAGAAAGTAAGGTCTTCAAGAGCAAATCTTCTTTTTTTTTTTTTAATTTTTTGGCTGCGCTGCACGGCATGTGAGTTCTTAGTTCCCCGACCAGGGATCAAGCCCGCGTCCCCTGCAGCGAAAGCACAGAATCTCGACCACTGGACCGCCAGGGAAGTCCCGAGGGCAAATCTTTTGTCTGTTGCTGTTTGCTGCTGTATTCTGACTGCCTGGAACAGCGCCCGGCACATGGACAGTACCCAGCAAACAGCCGGCGCAGGAATTAATAAATAAATAAAGGCAGGGGCAGAGAAGATAACGAGAATGCATGGCTTTTAGAGCCCTCGTTCTGAGTCTAATTACCTAGAATTCACTGTACGTGCAAGTGACTGACTGGTGCAATAAGGGTAGCAAAGAATAACGGCAGTTTATAACTTGCACGGTCCGAGTTGCCAGTTACCAAAATAGAACTTGCAGAAGGAGGAGCACTTTGAGAGAGCAGACACTTCCGCTTTCGGAATGCTGACTGCGAAGGGCTGCTGAGATATAGCCACAACGTCTGGAAGGGGATTGGAAACGAAATGTCCCAACTTCAAAGGACACGACAGTCAGAGATAAGAACTCGATTCACGAACATCGACGAGAAAGTTGACACCAGAGAGAATCCACGAACCATCGGAGGAAGCTGGAACTGCAGGAAGACACCCACAAGGACAGCCCTGATTGTCTTTAGAGTATTTTGTTAACACTGATGAATACAAAACATTTTTCCCCTTGAAAAAATTAATGCGAGTAAAATTAACTGAAGGATATTTTAAAACAAACTGGATGGGTTGGCACAATGGAAAGAAGACACCCAAGCACTTCTCTGGTCAACGTTGATGACCGGCATCGACAAAGGCTCACATGCAGACGCTTCAAAGTTCATGCTCCTCCAGGAAACTCCTCGCGAGGGGGAAACCGTGCACACCCCCAGCCCCCCCCCCCAGGTGCTTGCAAATGATCAGTCCGTCATTCAACAACCAGGCAGCCATGGTGGACTCAGGGAACCAAAGATAAAGAGCTCTGGTCCCTGAGCTTAAGGAGTTCACCGTCTAGTGCAAGGATATTACAGGATGACACGGGGAGTACAGTAACCAGGGTGAGGCCACGATGTCCTGACGACACACCTGTGCCAGGCAGGAGGTGGCCGGGAGAGGCACTCCTGGAGTGGTCATAAAAAGACGAATAGGAATGAGGAGGCAGAAAGGGCAAAGGATGGCAGGCGAGGACCCTAAGGCTCAGTGGGCAGCAAAAGCAGAAAAACACAGAATACGAACGAGTAAGTGGAAACAAGACCTCTCCTGTCCTCCTCCGGCTGGAAGCCCTCTCCTGAGGTCAGGGCAGCTGCGCACGGCTGGACAGATGCTCACGGAGGGTCGCCCCCTCAAACCCAACCTGTCCACGTCCCAACCACGAGCCAAAGCAAAACGGCTCACTGAGCCACTGCTTCCCCTGGTTTAACTAGCTTGGTTACATGATCCTTTCTCTCCTGCTGCCTCATAAAATAACTCATCTCACACCATACAGCCCTTTACAATTTCCAAAGTCCTTTTAGAGTTTGCGTGTGCTTGTGGCCCAAAGAAAAGGAACCCAAGATTCTCATGTCCTCAAGGTTCTCTCCTAACTGCACGAGTCCACTCAACCTCTCTGAATTCCCTTTCTCTACCAAAAATGACAGTATACTCACAATTGATAGCGTTTCGTTACCTCTTAGAATCTAAGTAATTGTGTAAAAATGCTCTGTGAGGACAGATATATAAAGATATATAAGCATAAAGATATATACTTGGGCTTCCCTGGTGGCGCAGTGGTTGAGGATCTGCCTGCTAATGCACGGGACACGGGTTCGAGCCCCGGTCTGGGAAGATCCCACGTGCCGCGGAGCGGCTAGGCCCGTGAGCAACAACTGCTGAGCCTGCGCATCTGGAGCCTGTGCTCCACAACGTGAGAGGCCACGATAGTGAGAGGCCCACAGACCGCGATGAAGAGTGGCCCCCGCTCGCCACAGCTAGAGAAAGCCCTGGCACAGAAACGAAGACCAAACACAGCCAAAAAAATAAATAAATAAATAAACAAATGTGGGGTTTAAAAAAAAAAAAAAAAAAGGAAAAGAATTTAAAATTGATCAATACAATCATAAATAGCATGTAGGTCAAATAATAAAGCATAATAATTTTTAAAAGATATATACTTTATAAGGAGAGATATTTGTTAGTGTTTGTGGGTTATAATCATTAACATCAGTAGTGTTCATATAATCAGTGCATCTTTAAAATTTTGCATGCAGAGCTGTCTTCAGATGCCTGGGAATAAAAACCCTGCTCTATCAATCATCCAAATATAGATATTTATTGAGCATGTATTAGGTGCCCAGCCCTGGCAGGGGGGTTGGTACAGGAAGGTAAAAGACAGCCTCCCGGGCCTCAGAGAGTTGGGAAGATATTGGTATGAAGATAAACAAATGAACTAAGATAAACACTAGGGGGGACCTGGTTGCGAATAAAGTTCAGTTCAAATCATCCTCCAATGAGCAGGCGAGGTAAATCACTAAACTTCACTAAGGCTCATCCTCTGTAAAGCAGAGATGAGCACAGTACCTACATCGTCAGACGGATGTTGTGAAGATCAAAGGAGATGAAGCATTGAAAGCACCTAATACCATGCTATGCACAAAGAATTTATTAGACGGCAACTGCAGACTGAATTACGCACCAAAAAATCGGGAAAGCAGGGATGGGAGTAAGAGCCAGGAGAAGAGGATGGTTGAGATGATCCCCAAACATCACACACAGAGTGAGAAGGATTTTCCCAGCCGGCCGCCGTACTGCGAGGGAGGGACGGTGCGAGGGGCCCCGCGCTGCCTGCCGCCGGAAAGTGAAAGGCTGAATTTGGAACCCTCGGCACGGTTGGTGGGAATGCAAAATGTATGCAGGTTCCTCCCAAAATGAAAAATAGAACTGAGACAGGCTGGGACCTGGGGCCCTTTGCTGCAGTGCCCACACCTGGACACACGTCGCCTCAAGCAACAAAACACAAAGAAACTATAAGGGACGAAAAAAGACTGCGCGCATGCCCAGTTAGGGCAAATTCTGGACGACAAGATACCAAAAGGCCCAAAAGAACCCAACTGCCACTTCCGAAGAGCCGGGAGCGACAGCAGGGTGATGCGCAGGCCCCCTGCACTCGACACCACCAAGGGGTGGGCAGAACACGTCAGCCACCACTCCCGCCCGACCCCCAGACGCACCCCTACCCTCACCCCACGCAAGGAGCCAGCTGCCCCCCGCCTCAGCGAGCGAGCAAGGGGACCTGTTTCTTGTTCTCGGTCCCCCTGCTGCAGCAGGGGCCCCAGTAAAGCCTTGCCTGAATCTCTTGTCTGGTCTCTAGTCAATTTCTATTGCTCAAGAAGGCCAAGAACCCTGGTCAGTGACAGAACTACCAGATGATCCAGCAATCCTATATGTGGGTGTTTATCGAAAAGAATGAAAATCAGGATGGCAAAGAGATAGGAACACTCGCGGGTTCACAGCAGCACCGTGGTCAACAGCCAAGATGTGGAACCACCTAAGTGTCCACCGGTAGATGAACAGGTAAAGAAAATGTGGCACATGCAGGGATTTTTACTTAGCCCTAAAGAAAGGAAGGAAATTCTGGAATCTACGACAGCCTGGGTGAACCTGAAGGACGTTATGCTAAGTGAATAAGCCAGTCTCGGAAGGACTGCACGATTCCACTACCTAAAATCGGCTAATTCACGGAACCAGTGGAAGGGCAGTTACCAGGCCCTGGGGGAGGGGGAGACGGGGAGATGCAATCACTGAGCATGAGGTTACAGTCAAGAAGATGAAGTAAGTTCTAGAAACCTGCCCTGCAATATTGTTTCTATAATTAACAACATTGTGAATTATACACTTAGAAAAATGTAGGAGGGTAGTTTCTTGTGTGCTGTGTTCTCACCACAATAAAACAGAATTTTTTTTTAAAAGAGAGAGAGCGCGCAAGAGAGAGAGAGAGAGAGAGAGAGAGAGAGATGGCCAGGCTGCGCTGGAGGGGCAAGGTCAGGCGGGGAGCCCTGACCTGGAGACACTCCACC